CTACTAAAATCTTTCCACAGTTTTCCTGTGAGTCAGGGTCTTGCTATGTAGCGGAGGCTAGTCTTGAATTTATGAGTGGTCTTTCTGCCTGCCCCAAGGGCTAGAATTACAGGCATACACTACCATACCATATGTGTGTATACCATATATATATATACATATATAATGTATGTGTGTATATATATAAATGTGTATGTGTACATATAAATGTATATATATATAATTAATTCCACACAGGACTTGGGTTGGTAGGGTGTTTAACTGACATGCACGAGCCCTGGGTTTGACCTCTAGAACCACATAAACCAGTCAGAGTGGCGTATGCCAGTAATCCCAGCAACTCAGGAGGTAGAGGTAAGAGGATCAGATATTTAAGGTACTCTTCAGCTACATAGTGAGTTTGAGGCTAGTCTGGGCTACATGAGATGCTGTCTCAAAAAGAAAAAAAACTTAAATAAATTCTATCCCAGAATTAATAATTCATAGGGCCAAGGAGTGCTCTCCTATCATGTGAGAGGCCCCGAATTCAATCCCTAGCACTATATTAATCTATATCTGTCTATAATTATGAAATCACCAGTGATATTTATATTTTATGTTTTTTTTCCCATTCCTGTGTACTGGACCTAGGATTTTGGAGACCACTAAACTAAATCACAACCCCTCTCCCATGCTTTGTGTTGTTGTCCTGTGTTGTCTGTCTGAACTTGAACGCAAGAATTTCCTTCAGTTTTCTTTTTCTTGTCTTTGTTTTGCTTTTGAGACAGGGTTTCCTTATGTAGCCCTTGGGGCCTCGACCTCACAGAGCTCCACCTGCTTGTGCCTCCGAGTGCCAGCTGTAAAGGCGCAATGCCGCCCTGGCCTGTTGTTTTTGTGGAAGCCCAGGGTGGCCTTTCCTGAGAACACCTACTGAGTGCTGGGATTGCCAATCAGCAAATCAGGAAGCATTTTTTTAAAATATTTATTTATTATGTATAATTTATTTATTTATTATGTATACAATATTCTGTCTGTATGCTTGAAGGCCAGAAGAGGGCGCCAGACCTCTTTACAGATGGTTGTGAGCCACCATGTGGTTGATGGGAACTGAACTCAGGACCTTTGGAAGAGCAGGCAATGCTCTTAACTACTGAGCCATCTCTCCAGCCCCCAGGAAGCATTTCTTGTAGATCAGGTTTAGTGATGAACTCCCTCAGTTTTGAGCTTGGAAGTCTTCACCCCTCCCCCACTTTCTGAAGGACACTTTTGTTTGCCTGTATTTTCTCTTTTTCCTGTCATCATTTTGAGTATGCCATTGCACTGTCTTCTTGCCAGCCGGATTTCTGCTGAGAAATTTCTTCATGATATTTCGGGAGATCCCTTGTGTGTAATAATTTGCCTTTCTCTCAATTTTCTTTATGACGTTTGGACTATATTTCTTAGAATGGGTGTCTTTGGCTCACCTCAGTTAGAATTCTCTGAGTCTCTTAGGCATGGTCATTCATTTCTATCCTCAGATTTGGGAGGTTTTTGTCAGTATTTCTTGAAATATGCCTTCTGTCCCTCCCGCCTCCATTTTCCTCTTCATGAAACTCCCATAATGCATCAGCCTACTTGATGGCGTCCTGTAAGTCCCTTCGGATTCTATCGCTTTTACTTTTCTCAAGACAAGGTTTTACTAGGTAGCCAAGGCTGGCCTGAAACTCAAGATATAGCTCAGGCTTGTCTGTAGCCTCTGGTAACAGCTCGCTTCTAGCCGCTCTAGTGCCGGCGTTACAGAACACGCCTACCCGCCCTGCTCTTCATTTTTGTTCCTATGATCTGGCAAACTGGACTCTGAATTTGCAGACTCTTCTTTTAATATCATCTGGGCTGCTCAGGAGCTCAGTGGGTAAAGGCACTTGCTGGGTGCTGAGTGGGGAGAGGCACTTGCTGGGTGCTCAGTGGGGAAAGGCACTTGCTGGGTGTTCAGTGGGAAGAGGCTCTAGCTGGGTGCTCAATGGGGAAAGGCTCTTGCTGGGTGCTTGGTGGGGAGAGGCTCTTACCTCAAAAGCCTGACAACCTGAGCCTGATCCCCGGAGTCCATGTAAAGGAGGAAGGCAAGAACCGATCCTGCAAGGTTTTCTTCCAGCTTCCATGTGTGGACACCGTGGCACATGCACCCCGCCACCCCCTGCCTTGTGCACACATAATAAAAAATTGGTTTTTTCTAAAAAAGAACATATTAAAATCTAATTTTTTTAAAAAAATAGGGAATGTGGCACATATCTGTAAGGGAACAGCTTTCTTTCTGGGGTTTTTTGTTTGTTTGTTTTTTAGATGGGATCTCACCTCTAGCTGTCCTGGTATGCAATCTGTAGATCAGGCTGGCCTTGAATTCTCAGGAGAACTGCGGAGAATTGCCTCCCCAGTGCTGGGATTAAAGGCAAGGGACGCTATGCCCAGACGTAATATCATTTTTAAACATATGTATGCACCTACCTGAGTTTGTGTGTACCATGTGTGCAGGTACCCATAGAGGCCAGAGTCTTTTGGAATCCCCTGGAGCTGGTGGTTGTGAGCTACCTGACTTGGGAACTGAACCGAGATCTTTTGCAAGGGCAGTAAACTCTCTTAACCACCAAGCCTCTCCCCAGCTGCAGAGAATATCTTTCGAGGCTAGGTTCTCTCCTTTACAGTGGAGCAGGGGATGAGGCTCAGACGTCAGATGTGTGCAGCGAAGTACTTTACTCATTGAGCCGTCCCTCTGGCCCACGCAGATTCTTCTGCTTACTCAAGTCTGTTACTGAAGTCCTCTATGCAGTGGTTCTCAGCTTCCGAGTGCTGCAGCCCTTTGATACAGTTTCTCATGTTGTGGTGACCCCCAACATAAAATTATTTCATTGTTGCTTCATAACTGTAATTTTGATACTGTTACGATCATAATATAAATATTTGATATGCAGGCTATCTGATATGCAACCCCTATGAAGGGTCGTTTGGCCCCTAAACTGTTCAGGACCCACGTGTATTTTTCAATTATTATAATTTTCTATTTAAGGGTATTTGTTTGGCTCCTTAAGGCTCCTCTCTGCTGATATCCTCAAATTCTTCCTGCGTCATTTTCTTCTGAGTTCCAGTTTGCATTCATACTGGGAAGTGCCTTCAATAACCAGCCCAGCTACACTATGGGGTGAGGTGGGGGCAGTCTTCCAATGCTTTGAAGGGATAGGGTCTCTCTACATAGCCCTGGCTGTCCTGGAACTCTATGTAGATCAGACTGGCCTCAAACTCGAAGATCCACACGCCTCTGCCCTCCCCCCCCCCCCCCAAGTGCTGGAATTGAAGGTGTGCGCCACCACATCTGGCTGAAGATGTCTTTTCTCATTAGAGGTGTTAGGCGTTTATGATCTCTTGCGCCCCCTGGTGTCGACTTCAGTCCTGCAGGCACTACGGCAGCAGGCTTCTATTTCTGTTTATGCCAAATTACATGTCTAAGGTTTCTTGATTTTTTTTCCTTTTTGTTTCTTGAGACAGGGCCTCACTATGTAGCTCTGGTTGTCCTGGAACTCTATATGAGTTAAACCCAGAGATCTACCTGCCTCTGCCTCTCACATCCTGGTATTAAAGGCGTGTGCATATGCTGGGCTACACGTCTTAAATTAGGGTAAGCCTGGCCACACAGTTCAAGAAGAGAAGAGGGAGGGAGCAGAGGAAGGAAAACGGAGGGAGAGAGAGGAGGGGAGGAATGGCATACGACACACAAGTGCTGTGCAAACTCTATAAGGTGCTCCGTAAATGCAAGGGAATCGTCTGAGAAGTCACCTACAATCTAGATTAAATTACATGTACTTACTCTGTGTGTGTGTGTGTATGTACATGTGCTATGGTACAAATGAGGTTAGAAGGCAGCTTACAGGAATCAGCTTTCTCCTTCCAACTTGTGGGTCCTGGGGGCCAAACTCAGGTCTCAACTTGGGAGCACATAACTTTACCCATTGACCTATCTTGTCAGCCCGGTCTTTCTTGTTTTAACCATATTTATAAGCACTGGGCAGCAGATTCAGTCCGTGGTCATGGCATTATGCCCTCTATTATCTTGGACATGCCACTGTCTCCGGCAGTCTGTTTCCATTTTGTGAAATGTGGATATATTTTTACCTCCCATGGTAAAACTTCATATGAGTGTAAAATTCCTGGTTTATATATTCCAACGAGACTGAGTGGCATACATGAAGTGACAGGCCATACCATGCCAGCTCTGGTACCAGAATCACGTTCTGGTAACTGGGCACAAACGAAGAGCACCCCTTATCCCGGAAGGCGGGACCCCAGACTAACAGAAGAGATAGGAAGGGGTACCTTGTATTTGATAAAGGGAAGCTGGGTGGACACTAAGCTTCCATGTGAGAAACTGCCATGTGAGACCAGGCCTAAATCAGAAACCAGGCAACCTTGATGTCCGAGTTCCAGGGACGAATCTACTGCTATTAATGGCATGCTACTATCCGGGTTTTAAGAATTTTCCTATTATCCCATTCCAACCCCCTACTCCCTGCCATTGTCATTTTTCCCAGCCACAAAAGTGTTCAATCATAACCTAAAGTTTGAAAGATCCTCACCCTGACACTGACTTCCACCACACTAGCCCCAGCTCTAGGCCAGCCTTCTTCAGAGGCCAACAATGCCCATGTGTAAAGCACGTGGAATAGCTGCAGAGGTCAGCGTCTATGCGGGCCCACCGCACACCCACTGGGTGACCTTCTCTTCCTTTCGGTGTTTCCATCCGCCCTCGGGGGTCTCTGTGGCAACCAAATGAGATGAAGAATGGCACGTACAACCCACAGCCTGTAGTGATGTTCAGCCAACTCATTCCCTTTCCCCTCCTCTAAAAGCTCCAGAGGCTCCCTCCACCTGCTGTCCTTCACATTTCAGAGGAGCCACCATCTGTCTCGGAATGCAACTCCTTCACAGGGAGGCTGCCCTGGAACAATCCCCCCAGCTCCCCACATCGCCAAATAAGTACACATGTTCTTCTCATTGACGTGTTTTACTGGTGATCACTGAGGAGTGATCAAGTTGGGGTGAGGAAGATAGGTAACACACACGGGGAGTGTGAGGGTCCCTGGACTCTGGATCCCTGAGGCTTCCTTTTCCTTCTTACTGAGGAACCACAGGCCTCTTCTCAGACAGAGAGGCCCCTCCAACAGAGGCCACGCCTCCGGGCCTAGGGCTCTAGAAGTTGTGTTGGATGAGGCACAGCAGGTAGGAACTCACAGGGCACTGCGGTGTGTCTGAAGCTAGATGGCTTTAAAGGACCCGCAGACAGTGACACCATCTCAGGCACGTCCCACAAAGCCAGGGACTGATGTCCCAATGACAAGCGCAAGTCCTGAGTCTATCCCACTTTCTCCACCCCTGAGGAAGTGAAGACTGGGCACTCTGATTTTCCAAGGCAAGAAACTGCCTGGGAGGAGGCAGGATTCCCTGACTTCAAAGGCAACAAGGGACCATTCTACAAAGGGAAGGGTTTGCAGGCCAGGTGGCTACAGCAGGTCCTTAAGGCCTCCTTCTCCTATGGAGGTGGGCTCTATGCTCTCCCCCACTCTCTAAGCAGGGCTCTCCTTTAGCTAGAATCTTTCTCATCCTGCTCGCCCAAGTGTGTCTTCTGGTGTCGGATGAGGTTGGAGCTTCGAGAGAAGTGCTTCCCACACAGAGTGCAGCGGTACGGCTTCTCCCCTCTGTGCGTCCTCTGGTGTGCACCAAAGTTGGAGATATCGCTGAACGTCCGTCCACACTCGGTGCACTCATAAGGCCTCTCACCCGTGTGGGTACGGTGGTGTACCCCAAAGCTGGAGCTGTTGCTGAAGCTCTTCCCACACTCGCAGCAGATGTAAGGAGCGGGCTCCAGGTGGGTTCGGCGATGGACAGCCAGCGTGGCACTCTGACTAAAGCCCTTGCCACAGATGTCACAGCGGTACGGCTGCTGGCCCAGGTGGTCTTGCTGGTGAGTAGTGAGGTCTGAGCGCCGCCGAAAGCTCTCCTGACACTTAGCACACTGGTAGTGCTTCTCTTCCAGGTGGATCCTCTCGTGCCGGATGCGGTTGGAGCTTCGGGAGAAGCTCTTGCCACACTCCGAACACTTGTATGGCTTCTCACCAGTGTGGATCCGCTGGTGTGTTCTCAGGTTGGAGGTATTGTTGAAGGTTTTGCCACACTGCACACATATAAAAGGCTTCTCATCCGCCTCTGGGCTTGGAAAAGCAATGGGGTTCCCAGGGCCTCCAGCTTGGGCAGTGGCTTTCTGCCAAGGCATTTTTGAATGTGTTCCTTGAAGACCCTTCGACAGACTTGCCTGCCCATGTTCCTCCCCAGGTATGATCTGAGAACCCTCTGAGCCATCCACTCTCCAAGGCTTCTCCCCTTCCCCTTCCTCAGGCAGGTGTGCTTCTGGACTCTGCTCCTTCTCACTGCCCATCTCTGAACCCTGGGAATGAACACAAATGGTCAACACCTTTAGCCCTTGTGTCAGGCCATCAGATCGGAGAATCTTGCATTCTGGTTGAAGCTTCCTCCCCCAGGAATAACCTCAACTAACTGGAATATTTGTTGAAAGCCTTTTTTTTTACTTCTCAACTTTCAAGTGATAAACTTCCACAGATATTTAGGGCTACCCCCTGTAGGGATAAGTCCCGCCCCTTAAGGGGCGTGTTCGCCTCGGGCTAATGTCTGCCTATAAATTTGGTGAGCAAGCTCCGAGCTGCTCGCTTCTGCTTTCCTGGTCTCCGCGGGAACGGTGGTTCTGTAAGTCTATTTCTACATTAAAGCTATATATATATTTTTACACTCTGTCTGCATTCGTTTACGCCGCTACATTTTGGCGCCCAACGTGGGGCTCGAACCCACGACCCTGAGATTAAGAGTCTCATGCTCTACCGACTGAGTTAGGCACCATTCTGCCTGCCTTGGCTAAGTTTTGCAGCGGAACCCCACTGCCTGAATTAGCAGAAGCTCAAGTACTTGCGGTTTTGCAACGAAAGCTGCCACAGCGTCAGATTTGGTCTGTTACAAAGTGACTTGGCCGGTTGTGGTGGCCCACGCCGGTAGGATTTGCTGAAGGAGGCAGAGGCAGGAGGATCACAAGTTTGAGGCCGGCCAGGCAGTGGTAGAGCACGCCTTTAATCCCAGCACTTGGGAAGCAGAGACAGGCAGATCTCTGTGAGTTTGAGGCCTGCCAGGCCTTGGTAGTGCACGCCTTCAATCCCAGCACTTGGGAGGCAGAGACAGGCGGATCTCTGTGAGTTCAAGGCCAGCCTGGTCTACAAGAGCTAGTTCTAGGACAGGCTCCAAAAACACAGAGACCACCACTGGCAGGAACCGATCATTGCAGGTAAAAAAATTTTCTTTTATAAATAAAATGTCTGAACACATTACTGTTCAAGAATTTAATGATTTTTTTAATTGTACCATGTGGGAGATTTTACAAGAGGTGTCTATCACCCCACATATATGGATCCTTCTGGGATTCGTAGTTTTCATTGGCACCAAATGGTTTGATAATAGAAATATGATAAAGTCTTTACGAGACGAATCCAGGATTCTTAAGGTAGAGATTGAACGCTTAAAAACAATTGAGAATGACAACAATCTTCTCAAGAATCAGTTTGAAGTTCTCCAGGCTGATAACAATCTTCTCAAGAATCAGTTTGAGGTTCTCCAGGCTGATAACAATCTTCTCAAGAATCAGGTTGAAGTTCTCCAGACTGATAACAATCTTTTCGAGAATCAGTTTGAAGTTCTCCAGGCTGATAACAATCTTCTCAAGAATCAGGTTGAAGTTCTTCAGGCTGATGTTAAGGAGAAATTCATTATTATGGAAGAGGGAACAGCTGATCTGGACCATAAGATTCAGTCCCTTTCTGTAGGAAATGAAACATTAACTGAGAGAATCAAAACTGCTGAATGTGACAATCGGATTTTGTCTAAAGCTTATGACAGATTGACGGAAAGATTGTCAATACAAGAAGGCACGGTTTATGCCATAAAAATTATGTCCAAAGATGAGATGATGTTATCTCTAACGGACAAACTTCATACTTTAGAATCCTCAATGAAGGCTTTGGAACATAATTCTGGACAGGAGATTCAGACATTGCAGAAGGCAATGGTGAATAGAATTGAAAAGATTGAGGAATTTCTAAATTCTGATGAGGAAGAGCAAAGGGTAGAAAGGCAAATTTTAACTACATCTGTGGGTAAGTCTCTCCGGGACAATTTCCACAAAGCTCTACCTACAGCTCTACCTGCCTTTCCAGTAATAACAACAGAGAAGGTGATTGGTTCCAAAAACCCTAGGGTCATCAAGGAGGATACATGGGAGCCTGTGCGTATGAATGATCTCAAGGAAATAAAACAGGCTGTCATGACTTTTGGGATGCAAGCCTCTTTTGTTAAAGAGATGCTAAGATCTTGGGCCACGACAAGCAGAGCAACCCCCTCAGACTGGCTCCAGCTGAGCTCTGCGGTACTCGAGAGTGGACCACAATTGAAATGGAAATGCTTATTCAGGCAAGAGGCTAGACTCTTAGAACAGCAGGAAAAAGCGAAGGGAATTGACATTTCCCTAGATCAAATTCTAGGTGAAGGGCTCTTTTCCGATCCTCAGGAACAAGCTAATTTGGATGAAAACACACTCTCCATGTGTACTACAGCAGCCTTAAGGGCTTGGGACAGGGTACAAGACCCAGGACAGAGAATGGAATCATTTGTCAGAGTTAAACAGGGTCAGAGAGAACCCTTTAGTGACTTTTTACAAAGATTAACTAAGGCTGTACAAATAGGAATATCTGACCCAGAAGCAAGACGTATAATGATTGAGTCTTTGGCTTATGAAAATGCAAATATGGAATACAAAAGGATTTTGGGTCCTTTAAAGCTCAGATCAGCGCCGTTGGAAGAATGGGTCTTGCATACACTCAATGTTGATACATTTGATTATGGCACTGAAGCATGGGTAGAAGAAGCAATTTCCAATGGTAAAAGGAGACACCAGAATACCAAATGTTTTAATTGTGGAAAAATGGGTCATATTAAAAGGAATTGTAGACAACGGATTTTCAGAAATAATAATAATAATAATAATAATGCATCTTTCAGAAATAATAATAATGCATCTTATAGAAATAACAGAAATAGGAGGACTCAGCCTTCAGGTTTATGTAGAAGATGTGGAAAGGGGAGACATTGGACGAATGAATGCAGGTCTACAAGAGATAGACAAGGCAACCTGATACAGTCGGGAAACGTGAGAGGGGGGGCCTCACAGGCCCCCATGGCAAACATGGTTCAGTCATATCCAGTTTCTGCAGAGAACGTGCCTCATCAGGACAATTAGGAAGCCCCATGCCTACTGTTACAAGCAATAATGATCAGAAAGATAAGTTACGTGTGTTTTGGCAAACTTCTATAAATGATCAAAGACCTAAACTGAGAGTGTGTGTAAATGGCATTTTTATTACTGGCCTGCTGGACACAGGTGCTGATGTAAGTATCATTACCCCAGAATCTTGGCATCCGTATTGGCCTCTTCAGAATGTAAATGTTCAGCTCCTGGGAATTGGAACCCTATCTCGAGTAAGGCAGAGCACGAGATGGGTTGAATGTATAGGGCCAGAGGGACAAATAGGAAAATTAAAGCCATATGTAGCCAATATCGCAATGAATTTATGGGGTCGTGACCTATTACAACAATGGAATACTGAAATTAACATTCCTGCTAAATCTAGAGCCTATATTTCTGAGAATAATATTAAAAGATATTACAAACGGAGAAAACCGGCCATTCGGGCTGTACAAGAACAAGCAATTGATGTCCCTTCAGAGATACCAACAGCCTTGCCTCTAAAATGGTTGACTGAGAAACCAATATGGACAAAGCAATGGCCTTTAGCTGAGGAAAAGTTACAGGCTTTAGAACAGCTGGTACAAGAACAATTAGATGCTGGACATATAGAAGAATCTACCAGCCCTTGGAATTCTCCTGTATTTGTGGTTAAGAAAAAATCAGGTAAATGGAGAATGGTGACAGATCTCAGGGCCATCAACAAGGTTATTCAACCTATGGGCCCTCTGCAATCTGGAATTCCTTTGCCCTCTTTATTACCAAAAGGATGGCCTCTCATAGTTATTGATTTAAAGGATTGTTTTTTCACTATACCTTTGCAAAAAGAAGATAGAGAAAAATTTGCCTTCACAGTGCCTACTTATAACAATTCTCAACCTTCGAGGAGGTACCACTGGACCGTTCTCCCCCAGGGTATGTTAAATAGCCCCTCCCTGTGCCAATATTTTGTGAACCAACCATTGCAAATAATACGCAAGAAATTTCCCAAATCTATAGTATACCATTACATGGACGACATCTTGTTATCCGATTCAAACATGGATACCTTGAATAGACTGTTTGAAGAAATAAAGATACTTTTACCTAAATGGGGATTGCAATTAGCTCCTGAAAAGATTCAGAAGGGAGATTCTGTTAATTATTTAGGTTATAAAATAGGTTTGCAAAAAATTAAGACACAAAAAGCACAAATTAGGAGAGATCGCCTACGGACTCTTAATGACTTTCAAAGACTGTTAGGAGATATTTCCAGTCTACGACCAGCTATTGGAATAACACCTGATTTAATAATTCATTTGAACAAAACCTTGGATGGTGATAAAGATTTAAACAGTCCCAGAGAATTAACAGCTGAAGCAGAAAAGGAACTGACAATGATTGAGGAAAAATTACAACAGGCACATGTGGACAGGGTGAATCCAGAGCTCGATTGTATTCTCGTCATACTACCATCAAAAATTTCTCCTACAGGAATTTTAATGCAGAGAGATGATATTATTTTGGAATGGATCTTTTTACCACATAAACCAAGTAAGAAACTGAAAACTTATGTGGAAAAAGTCTCTGAGTTAATTATAAAAGGCAAGCTGAGACTTCGTCAACTAGCAGGCATAGACCCAGCAGAAATTATAGTGCCTTTCACTGCTGATGAACTAAAGAAATTATGGGAAGATAATGAACCATGGCAAAGAGCTTGTGCTAATTTTTTGGGAGACATTAATAACAACTATCCAAAAAGCAAGAGGCTTAACTTCATAAAGAGAACCTCTTGGATTCTTCCTCGAATCGTCCGTGATGCTCCAATAACTGGAGCCCGTACATTCTATACTGATGCCAATAAATCAGGGAAGGCAGGTTACAAATCAGAAGACTTGGATAAGGTGGAACAAAGTCCGTATAATTCTGTCCAGAAGGCGGAATTATATGCCATTCTTATGGTGCTAAGGGATTTTAAAGAACCTATTAATATAGTTACAGATTCACAATACGCAGAAAGAGTTATTTTACATATTGAAACTGCTGAATTTATACCTGATGATACTGAACTAACCTCATTGTTCCTCCAGGTTCAAGATTTGATCAGG